TACATATGTAGACTAAAGTATATAATTTGTTAGATCATGTCCTGACCATGTGAAAATGTTAGGGATAATTCCCTGCTTAGTGTAAGGGGTCTTTGGCTTTTTTAAATATTTGATTAAAACTGCAATGCATAGCTTGTGTCTTGTCTAAATTTTTCCATTCTGTGCTCATCTGGTCCTCTTCCCTACCATTGTGGGGTTGTTCCCTGTTGTAGATTTGCTAGTGTGTTAGACTGGACTAGGTTTAATGTTCCCAAGTGATGGGGCTTCCATCACTGTCCTTAAATCAGTCTAATATACCTCTAGATCAGGAAGGTTGCCCTAGTATTTTCCCTTCAATTCATCCCATGTCTCCTAGTTGTAACTTCCTTGTGCCACACTAAACTCTTCTTCTCCTTATTTATGCCCTTTCGATATGTTTAGACTACTTTCTCCCCACTACTCCTCGTTTAGCCAATTTATACAGGTCTGGCACTTTAACCTCTCCTTCCTTAAATGAGTTCATTCGGTCGTCTGTTTAATATTTTTCCCCCCAGAGTTGTCTTTGGTTCCTCCCCTGCCATGCAATACCTTTCTGGTGATGGGATCCCAGGAAGTATAGTTGTAGTGCAGGTGCAAGTGTACCAGAATCATAGAGAGAGTTCCCTGTTATGTGAAGTCTGGCATATTTAACCCAGAGTTGCTTTTGTCTTGTTTATGGCCAATATATTATGAAAAATTCAAATTTAACATGCATTCCATTATTACCTTTCATCTTAGCATTTCAGTTCTTTGTATTCTGTGATCTTGTTTAGTGTGTGCTAGATCTAGGAAAAATAATCTATTATTTTGCCGCCCTTCCCCCAACCTCCCTTTTTTCACCCAAGCTGAATCTTCTGTTTTCAGCCCATATCTTTTTACTCTTTCTGTGTTCACTTGTATGGTTTCTCTGTCCTCACTTGGGTTAGCAATTCCTCCTTTTGGTATTGTGTGCAAAACACTTGAATTAGACTAGCTCTATTGCTGATCTTGGCAGTACCCTACTAGCTGAACTTCACGCAACTTGCTCTGGTTTAACTAAAATCTATTTTAATCAAACAGGTTTATATTGGATTAGCTTAATTTGGTAAGGAATCAACTTAATTCAATTTAATGTCTTTTAGTGGCATTTTGCACCAGTTTAATTGGTGATTTAAAAAATATTTTAGTTAAATGAACAGCAATTTTGTGTGTAGAATGAACTTCACTTTGACTATTTTTCAGATTCCTAACCAGCCTTCCATCCACATGAGTATTTCTATCCACTCTAACTGAATTTTAGTTTCCAAGAAAATGTGAGACATAGTTCAGTAAAGCATTTGATACTTCAAATACGTGACACATACAGTGTTCCTTCATCCACTAATTTGGTAGTGCTCATAAAAGAACAAAACTTTTTATCTGGCAAGATTTATTCTCTAAACCATGCTGCTTCTTTCAAAGGGACCTGTAATGTTGATGTTTTTTTCCTCTGCATTTTATTCCATTATCTTACTAATGCTACAAAACAGACATACAGGACTGTAATTGCTAGGATCACTCTTCATTTCTTCTTTGAAAATTGGGGCTACATTTGCTTTTCTCTAATGTTTTCATAACACCGCAGCTTTATCTTCCAAGCCCAAAATCTCTATGTAGGATCACAGAAGTTAAAAAGGCTTTAGAATAAATTATACTTTGATCATTTGCTCTCAGTAGAGTTCATTGCAATGGCTCCGAGAGTGGCTCTGATTCAGGGCTTGTTTTCTGTTAAACAGACTACAGAGGTGCCAAAGGACCCCAAAAATATTACTGACTGTTTTACTGTGAATGACTTAGATCTAGGTACAGTTTTCATTTTGCTTGAGCACCCCCAAATCTTCTCCTGCTAAGGTAGAGCGCTCTGCAGCTGTACAGGAGTTGGGGGCTGTACTGGAGAAGCACAGTGCAGATCCTCAGAGTAATACCATCTGCATAGGGGTTTGTAATGGGAAGCTACATTTTCCCCCAGCCCTTGCGGAACTTCCTTGTGCAAAGCCTGGTTGAAGAGGTTTTGCACAATGTGGAATGTTTCAGTCCTTGTTATTGGTGTCCAGGGTTGAAAGGAAAAAGTAACTCTTTAGAATATGTGTGATAAGCCTATTTGTAGGTTAAAAATGGTCTTTTGACTCTCAGAGAATGAATGTGTCAAGCTAGAAACTAAGCATTTTGAAGGGATTTGATTATTGTGAATAAGGGAAATCTGGTAAAATATACACCTCTACCCCGATATAACGTTGTCCTTGGGAGCCAAAAAATCTTACCGCGTTATAAGTGAAACCGCCTTATATCAAACTTGCTTTGATCTGCCGGAGTGCGCAGCCCTGCCCCTCCAGAGCACTGCTTACCACGTTATATCCGAATTCGTGTTATATTGGGGTAGAGGTGTATTTAAAATAGCTCCTTACAAAAGTCTCCTATATTTGGAAGAACAATTCAAATACAATTCTGTGAAATGTGAGTTTGTATTAACAGGCTGAAGTAGTTATTGTAACTTGGTTGCACTGCTAACTTGGAAAATGTAGCTGTCAAATTTACTCTGACTTTTAACACAAACCATGTGAGACTTATGGCACAGTTATTGTGAGGGCATTATGAAAACGCTGTAGCAGTTGATTAAAGGTTATGGATCGCTTATTAAAAACTACCTTGTCTGACTGTACTTTGCACGGTGTGTTCTAAAATCTTACTTCTGATATAATTAGCAATTAGAGTAAAATTGACTTTGCTTTTTTTGAGGGGTTTTTCAAATGGGTAGAAGTGGATAAGTGACATTGAGCCTGCATTGCCCAATTGAAAAGAATTAATGTTGCGTTCTTTCCTGGTTAAGTGAAGCAGTGTGTGTTTTGTTGGAAGTGATCCATTTACTAGGTGGCCTTCTGTGGACTAACTAGCTTATTGCAAAAGAAGGATGTCAGCATTACACTCGGCAGCCAGAGTGGAGAGTGTCAAAATAAGAAATGCCATGTTTGTATTATCGGATTTATTGAAATAAACATCTCTAGCAAAAATCTATAAAGCCAGTTGTCATGAAACAATAACATATGTCCTGGCAGCTACTATGCCTGACGCATGAGCTGTTACTGGAGTGACTTACATTTAGTTTAAACTGTTTTTAAAAAAGAAAAACAGACTGATATTTCAGATATGGGGTGCTGCTGCTGCATGTGTGAATACTTGTCTGTGGTGAGCTAGCACTCATAGCTAGCATCGTGAAGAAGCCTGGAATGTTCAGCCACTTGGCTGGCTTGATAGACGGAATGTTCTGATAGCTGCTTTTGGAAGAGAGAGGTTGTACGCAGGGGAATGTTGAATAGACCTTTTAACGGTCTCTAGTTAAAACCTGGCAAAGGCTTTGTTTAGTAGAAGGAAGAAAAACCTTCAGTTGGTGCCTGTTTTGTTCAGAGACCAATTCTACCTAGACTCATCAGTGATGTTGCCCATTGAGCTTACACAGGGTATAAGTTGGTACGTGGTTTGGCCCCAGACATATGTCTGGAAATATTTTACACTATGGGGACTATACTGATGTAGCTATGGTGCTGTAGATATACTTGCGTAAAAACAGCCTTCACGGATGGAAGGGGTTTTTCCAGCAGTATAGGAACATCTCCCAGGCAATAGTAATAGTAGAAGCATTCTTCCAACAACCTAGCTGTGTCTACACTGGGGTAGATTACCATAATTGTCACTCAGGGGTGTGGACTTTTCACTCTCCTGAGGCTCGTAACTACGTTGACCTACATTTTTAAGCATAGACAGGGCCTACGTATAAGCTGTGATAGGCAAAGAAATGTAAAAGGAGTGCTTTCTATAGTTGAGAAGAAAAAATGATCCGGTAAGTAATGAGTGGAATTGGTTTTGAAACCCTTGACTAATACATGGATTGGATGTGATAAAACTCCTAAATTGGTAATTTAACACATTCTAGATAGAAAAAAGGAGGTAACTATATCTGAAAATTTAAAAGAATCAATGATATGTCATTTTCCCTCCTCTCCCCCAGGAAGAAAAAAATCTCCATTTCCCTACCATTTTCAATATTACGACTATTACTATTAGGATACTGTTTTCAATAATATCCCTCCAAGAACTGAAAAATACTGACAGTGCCATGAATCATCTCTAGTCTAAAAACTAAGTAAATGAGAAATGAGCCCCACCCCTTACAGGACAGTTCACATATACTAAATACACGCTGACTGATTCAGGATTCCCCTGATATCTGCAGTCAGGTTTTTCCTATTTCTTTCAGATTATATTGTGTACAGATGCCCCCCAGGTTACACAAACCCAACTTACGCAAATCCGCACTTACAGAAAAAGTGCTGTAAGCTAGAAACAGGAGGTGGGGGGTTTTTTTTGGTTAATGGTCGGGTATACATTTCAATGCAAAATTCGAGTTACGCAAGGCGTTCCATAACTGAACGCTTGCGTAAGTCGGGGAGCGTCTGTATTTGTTCTTTAGGTTCTGTCATTCTTTCACAGGATTAGATTTAAACTTCTTTTATTAATAACATGCAAGTGAGAATGATGGCTCTTTCATATTAATCTGGGAGATAAAACACAAGTCTTGTCGTATTGCTTTAAAAAGCCACCTGAATATTTACATTTCAGGAGGCACTCCTTTTCCACTTACGTTTTAGTAAGTGAATTGTTACTGGTAATTACTGCCTAAATAGTTGTCTTGGTTTGGGAGCTAATCCACCAAAGATAATCCAGTGTAGCTATTAGATAATTAAATCCATTCTATAGTTATAAATCCTAATATAGAAATTTGCATGAAAGAACCCCTTTCTAGGAGTGGGGTAGAACTCATTGCAAAGATAGTGTCTTTGAATAAAAAAAATGTGAGGACATCTGCATTTTACCTGCTCACTTTCTAGAGAGACTGTAAATTATCCTGCAACACGTTGTTATTTTGTAAGTGAAAAGTGATTAATATGTCTATTTTTTCTCTCTTCCAGACTCTCATTTTACTCTGGGCATTCTTCATTCTCCATGTACTGCATGCTGTTCCTAGCAGTAAGTATATTCTGCTCATCTAAACTGGTTTTTGTTGCAAAGCATGAAGTTGAAACACTTGCTGCATCAGTATTTTCCTTTGACCTGTCTTATGTGAGAGATGCATTAAATCATAATGCTCGTGGGGGGTGGTAGTGTTGCTCTGAATAGATTTTTGCTCGGTGGGTGAGGGCCAGCATGTGTTTGGGGTGGGGAGGGAGGTGGCAAAATATTATAGAGAGCAGGTATTCAAGCTTTAGTAGGGATAAAAGGCATTTCACAAGGTAGCTGGCTTTTCATGTCCTTTCTCTCTATTGAACCAGATGACAGTGGGTTTGGAAAATATGTAGTTACTTAAGTTGGTGGTTAAAGTATTGCAGGGCATTAAAAACAGAAAACCTCTTTCCATAGGATATGCCTCATATGGGATAGGAAATGTCTGCTTTCATAATGCATGCAAAGCCTTTAAGGAAACTAAATTAACCTTAACTGAGCATTGGCAGGTCTGTAAATATAGTGTACGAGAAACACACCTAAATGTAAATTGTTCTTAAAACTACCCATCTGCAGAAAAGCTCAGTGGTGAGAAAAGCATTATGTGCATACACAAATTGTTTACAAAAATATTCTAAAATCTGGCTATGTAAAATAAACCCAATCAGACTGAAGACCGTGACTCAGCGAATGCCATGTATCTCCAGTCACAGGGTAGGGCTGCATGCTAGTCAACTTCACGGCATCGCAGGCCTGATTGGCTGCTTACTAGGGCAGCACTTAGATCACTTATTCATATATTTAAAAATAAAAAGTGAATGCACACAGCCACAAAAGAGAAGAGAAGAATGTGGGGGGATTTGATAGCTGCTTTCAACTACCTGAAAGGGGGTTCCAAAGAGGATGGATCTAGACTGTTCTCAGTGGTACCTGATGACAGAACAAGGAGTAATGGTCTCAAGTTGCAGTTGGGGAGGTTTAGGTTGGATATTAGGAAAAACTTTTTCACTAGGAGGGTGGTGAAGTACTGGAATGGGTTACCTAGGGAGGTGGTGGAATCTCCTTCCTTAGAGGTTTTTCAGGTCAGGCTTGACAAAGCCCTGGCTGGGATGATTTAGTTGGGAATTGGTCCTGCTTTGAGCAGGGGGTTGGGCTAGATGACCTCCTGAGGTCCCTTCCAACCCTGATATTCTATGAAAATGGGCTTGAGCTTGCATCTACCTTCACAGAGGAATAAAGGATTGTTTTCTCTTGAATTCCCCTATATAAAAACCTGCAGTTTGACAGCTTTGCCCTCTTGCCCTGTAGTTATAGGAAGGTTGCAAGCTGCCATGGATTCTCTTTGAGCTTTATTTTGGGCACCCCCTACCCTTGATTTATACTGGGAAAAAAGGGGAAAACGAGTTAAATGCTTTTTTTACTTGCTTACAGCCAAATTTTATAACTCTCTAAGTAAGAGATTAGGTTAGATAAACCTCTTCATCTTTGTAGTTGCTGATTTAGAACTATGGTAGTGTTACTCTTAATGGAGTATACGTCTTTTGTTTCTGTTCACTACAGGCAGATGATCTGTGTAAGTGGATAAATTTCTTGAGCCATCAAACAAGGCATCAGCAAATTTGAAAATTATTTAGTAGAAAAACTCTGCAGGATAGGGTAGTTTTTTCTATCCAATCCAGTGAACAAATAAAGCTGCTCAATGAACTGCTTCATATCTTGCAGTATATGGGGCCAAAGAGGCCATGTCACAAGTTCTGTAACTGACAGGGTGGCTAGCCCAAGCCCCAGGCTCCTTTGATAAGTACCTAAGAACACATCTAAACACACAATCTCAGCAGCAATCTCCACCATATAGAACAGTAGACCATATCAATCAGACCTTTTAGCAAAGAAGAAAGGGTGAAATGACCACACCCTCTCTACAGTGTGAACCCCCATCTCTACCCCTGCATGTACAATGTGCTTCTCTCCTAAAGCCTCCAGGAAAAGATGACCCTGAAGGCCTGGAAATGTGGGCTGTTTCTGAATGAGTTCCAAAGCTGAGAGACCCTCGCGTACTCTGTGTGCCCTGCCAGCAGTCCCCTCGCTTCTATACTGAGGGGGTTGCAGCTTGAGCACATGTACTGATTTTAATTATAGCAATGGGACATGGTGGGGAGAGGTGAGCTCCAAAGTTCACTCCCACAAGAATTGAGGGCACACAACTTGCATATTTAGAGCAGTAATCTTATACATTGGCATCAAACCCTCATGGCAACAGAACTGCTAAACTGTTAATGTAATAGGATTTTCTTGGGTTTAGGAAGTGTCTAGACACCTCATCTGTGGCCCTCTCCACACTGGGACCAGAACCATGGCAGCTATAGCCATCTTTAAAGATGTTGGTTGGTGGGAAGCTCCTACCACGGTTGCCAGAGTGGGCCAGAAATCTTTGTTAGGATATTCTTTGTGACAGAGACTGTTTAAGGATTATCCTATCAATTTTAAGGGTTATCCAATAATCTTCCCACCACAGAATGATTGCTCTTTACAGCAAAACTCTGAGTGCCTTTCCCAGTCTAGTTTGGAATTAATCCAGTTGGTTTGGAGTTAATCCAAATGAGGAGCCCTTGATTAAAATCCAAATGGCTGAATGTTGGATCTATACTACTATGGATTGGCTTCCTTTTCTCTCCTTTCCCCTGCTACAAAGCATTGACTCTTTTTAGTGATAGGTGTCTTCATTTTTTGTCATTAAGTACTAATGCAAAAGTGATTAAAACCGCTTGTTTTAGAGTCTTGTTTACCTGCCCAATAGAAGGCTTCAATCTTGGGTGTAAATCGGTGCATTTGCAAAATCTTGATTTGCTACACAGTATTTGAAGTTCAGGATTACAGTTTTGCAACTCTCTGAAATTCACTTTTCCATTTAGGCTGCATACCCCAAGATTTTCATCTTGTTACTTTTCTTTTGGCACCAGAATAACCTCTGCAGCAGTTGGATAGTCTATTCAAAATGGAGGCTTGAGATGCATTTTTTTTTTAATCTTTGTAAATACTGAAAAATGTGAGCACACTTTTCAATGAGGCATGAAGAGCAAGTTTTCAAAAACGTGTCTACAGCATGGTTTTCTGGACACTTTTAAAGTTTAATAAAGCCCCCAAAACTCCCATTCCACAGACACTGTTCCAGCCTCTAGGTCAGAATTGCTCTATGGGGGAAGACTGTCTTTTTAGATTTGTTTTCCATTTTTATTTTTTGCCTCTTTCCCCCCCATGTACCCTACCTATCTGTATGTGCACGCTACTTTTTACCATCATGTAAATCCAGTTAGTGGGGTAAAGGGTGTGTGTGGTGTTTTTGTTTTGTTTTTTTTAATGTTCAAGTTGACGGCAACAAAATGACAGCTTCCTCCATATATCAGCTTACAACAACAGAGGTTAAGTTCCTTATTTTGTTTGCCCCACACCAGGACTGAGTCTGTCTGTCTCCATAGTATACGATCACTTCTTTAGGAATTTTTTTGTGTCATTTGGGTCAAAATCACCATTTCTGTAATGGAATGAAGTAATTGGTTACTGAACTCTGGAAACAGAACCGGTAGATTTTTCTGCTCACTGAATATTTGAGCTACTCTGTACTATGAACAGAAGTTAACAGAAAATGTCTATGCCCAGCCTATTTACCTGTAAGCTATGCAAGAAAAAGTGATGCTAGATGTGCCTCATTGCCTGACCTAACCAAGACCATATCCCTAACTGAGTTCTAATATGGTATGCTCACTCAGTTGTACAACCACATAAACTAGAGGGAAGGGAAAGGCCTGTTACGTGATATGGTCCCTCAGCCTGCCAATAGTGGGATTGCTTCCTACAGTGTGTGTATACATGGATATGGACGTAGGTGTCTGTATAAAACTTCTGTTCTTGTGCATTGCTGTCACACTTAACATTTAAATTGGATGGAGTCCTAAGAATTGCATTACTGCAAATGTGTATTAGCCTATGTACTTAGGGTCCACTGTGGCTTTGGATGTGACCCACCAAAGAGCACCACACCTCCCCCCCCCCCCCCAATGTCTTTCTGCACATCCGATAACCTTAACTGTACTTCAGAAGATCATGCTGCTTTATCGGGATTTGTAGGGGGGTCCAGAAGAACATGTTGCCTTTTATTTTGTTGTTCAAAACTACATAGAAAACTACATTACAAGTGGATTCATGTGATATGCTGCAGTAAGGCATTCCAGACCCTCTTCCATGCTGCTGCCTTGTTCTCTATGTAAGCAGACTTTTATTTTTAAAATGGAAGTCTCCAGCTGTGATGGTTACTGAGATATTCTGCTCATGCTGGAAAAACTGGTGGAATTTATATCTGTGCGCACCAGTTACAGTTGGATGTGGTGGTAGATCCTGGGCTGCTGCTGGATGCCTGAAAAGTGGCTCTGGCCAGGAGCATTTTCTCAATCTGTGCTTGGTGAGGAATTCAGCCTTTTCTCTCTTTGATGTGAGCCTGGCTTTTGTTAACCACACTTTTTGTCATTTTGAGATTAGCTTGCTGTAATGTAGCTCCCCACTGGAGCCACACCTTGAGACTGCTCCGAAACTGAAGCTAGTGCAGAATTCACTGGGTCAGCTTTGGAACTCACCCTGCCCAACTTGGTCCATCAGATGCTAGGTTTGGTGACCTTCTGGGGCTTCTGGAAAGACCATCTTTACTCCCAGCTTTTGGTGAGGTAGTGGGCTGAGGTTGAAGGGGTTTGTGTTTGTTCATCTGTCCAGGTAGGATGAGCAGTCCTTTATTTGTCTGATGTATTCATGAACATTATGAAATGAGCTCCCACAGGATCAGATGAGCAACAACAAAAATATTTGATATAGTATGGGAGATATTTTGAGAACTATGACCACATTCTGTACAATAAAATATACAAACAGTGTACATTCTTAGATGCACATGTCTAACATTTTGAAGAAATTATACATTTAATTGTGGGAGACATGGTAGTTGTCAAATAGCTGACTATTGCATGATTAATTTCTTTGTA